GCAACGGTTTCCCCAGGTCTCAATGTCGATGTTGGCCTCTGTCAGGAATGTCTTCAACTGAGCTTTGAAGCCTTGTTTTGGGCTTCCGCGTAGACTCTTAATAAATACGTGTGGCACGTGACCCACCCATCACCCGCATCATCATCATCATCATCATCATCATCATCATCATCATCATCATCATCATCATCAGTTCTGTGACTTCTTCAATCATCCTTCAGAAGAAATAGACCCCACTTCCAGGCTGATATGTTGGCGTGGCTCTCAGGAGTTCTAGCTTTGTCATGTCCATCCACTCTTTGACGTTGTCTGACCAGCACTTGCGTTACCTTACCCGCCTTCAACAGTGCCTTGCCTAATGGTCTTGCAGAGGCTATCATGTCATCTTCCGACGCTTAGTAGTGGTTAGGAGAGATTCATGTCGGTCCACTGGACTTTCGACAATGCTCTGTACATAGCTGTCGGTTTTGTGCTCCCAGTATGAGATGCGGATTAGCTTTCTCGGTCATTAAGAAATCCGATTTAAAAAGGAAAAATAAAAAGCTGATAACTGCAGATCAAAAACGTATGTCGTTCTCCGCGTTTCATTGTTTACTTACGACAAGAAAATTGTTTACTTATTTCTCATTGCTTCGCGTTCTCATTCTTCGTGTATTGTCATCCTCCTTGTCTGCCTTCATAGTTATACTCACAGCTGGCTCATTGGTCCGTGTTGCATTTACTGAACACGTGTATCAAATAACAATCGAGAGAAAGCACAAACGAATGCAAAAAAAAAGGAAAAAAAACGCTCACGAACCAAATCCGACAAAACTTGATCTTTCTTATTTTTAATCACTTCACCCCAAGCAAAGCGATAATGCGACTAACGTAAGGGGTTAATGGCAGTGAAAGAGAACGAGAAGACATTAGTGAGGAGAAAGGAGAATAACGAACGGAATTTTGGAAGACACATTGACATTGAATTTAATGGCAATTGACGCTGCATTTAAAGGTGATTGGCGTTGTATTTAAAGGAGATTGACGATGCATTTAAAAATGACTGACGCTGCATTCAAAGGCAATTGACTCTGCATTTAAAGACGATTTACGTTGCATTTAAAGGCGATTGACTTTGAATTTAAAGGCAAATGTCGCTGCATTTAAAGGCGATTGACACTGCATTTAAAGGCGATTGTCATTACATTTAATGTTAATTGACATTGCCTTTAAATTTTTGAAGGTTACAACCATCAAAAATTTAAATGCGACGTCAATGAGGAGCAGAGAGTAAAAAACCCAGAAGAGGTTTCCATGGGTTAGAAGAGCGAGAAAATAAATTATTAGACAAGAATTTACGGTTACATCTAGCTATTTCAACAGTAAAAGTATGAGACCCATTAGTCAATCCATCAGCACGTTTAAATCCACATAGTCGATGTACCAAGGAGGAGAACTCATCAGAACAACTGCAATGAAAATATTTATAGAAAAGACAGAGGAAAGCCGCGTCACGGAGGTTGGTAAGTGACTGAGATCGAGATGAAATGTTTCTTTGTATTCTTTTCTTTTTTTATAGTGAGTGTCACCCTTTACAAGGCCCGGGGGTGCACTCGATATAGAGGGTTACGTCAGGAGGCAATTTGTGTGTATAAGTGAAGGAGTAACAATTAACCCTAACCTTGAATAGATTGTAGTGATCGGGGAAACATCCTGTTGGGAATCGATTCCCCAGGGCAGGTGTTCAATGGGAAGAAGCTGTTCGAGTGGAACTTCTCATCGCTGGAATACAGAGGAAATGTAGATGGTTTGCCTAAAATATAAGTGATATGGCGTGTTCTTAAAATGAAGGGTTGCCTTAGCGGGACCAGGGAATGTAGTTCATCCGAGCAATTTTCGTGGAATAGCGGTAGACCAGCGAGAAGCTTGCCACACCCCGCCTGTGGGGGAGAGGTTGGAAGGTGGAGAATAATTCGTCTCACACAAGTGCTCAGAGACGCTTTTGAACTCTATCAAGGCTGGAGAGTGAGGTCTTGGCAGCTCCTGCCAAGATATGAAAACAGTACTCCATCAGAAGCGATATCATTACCGGGTGAATGGCCCGCAGTTATTCTTGATAAAGAACTTTATATTACCTCCCTTTAATATCATGCTTAAATCCCCTATTGTTCACCCAATACAAGGCCCAAGAGCCACTCAAGATAGAGATCTACTGAATGGCGTTTTGCTTTATAAGCGTAAGAATTGTAGATTATGGCGATATAAAGGGCAGATAACGGTTAGCTCGCTACTTGAAGTAATTAAGATTATAGTGATCGAGAAAGTATTCGCTCGGGAGTTCCTTCCACAAAGCAACATCCCTTGAGAAGAAACTCTCCGAATTCAACTTTCTTATTACTTACGGAATACGAAGGGAATCAGGATGGTTTACCCGTCTGTATATGGCATGCTGGTTTTAACTGTGAAGGCCTGAACTAGTGGAAATATTTAATGTAGCTCGTCAGAACATATTTATATGGAAAGAGTAGCGATAGGCTCGTGACTGTGCGTCTGTGACATCTCCTACAAGCTTTCGAACACTGTTGCGACAGAAACGTGGAAATTAAGCAGCTCCTGTTCAGGTATAGCAGCAACACTACCTTTGAGTCTGATCTGACTTTTCTTTTTAAGATAAAGCATCTCAGGTGGAGTCAGGTGTTTTCTTAAGTAACAAGAGATAATCCTGGATTATAAGTAAAATTCATTAATCCCTGATAGACAACTTTTTCAACGTTTCGGATACGAAAATATTGATATTTTGAGGGATCCGAACAATAGATACGCATTTCTTAGATAGGGTATTAGGATCTTGCTTTCCTGAGATGGTCTACCGTGGCTGAGCGGTCGAAAAGCCCACAGGTTGAAATGGTGATTTCCTCCACAAGAGGGACGCGGGTTCGAACTCTACTTGAAGGCATATTTTTGTTTATCAAAACTCTCAAATACACACACCATTAGACATTGATATACACTGTTTTAAAAAAAAAAACAGGTCTATTTACTCAAACACATACACTTTATTAAATTTTTTTGAGTGTGCGTGCCGGTACACGAAATGAATACTGTATAAAAAAAACATACGGAGCGTCTACCTTAATGCGGTTATCCACTGAAAATAACCTTTGAAGTAATAAAATATATCGGATTAAAAAAATACATAAATTCTTTAATCCGTAAACAAGTTTCGGATACGAAACTGAGCAGGTATGGCTTTCGAGAAAATCTGAAGCAGTGAATGTGCTTTAAGACAAATAGAAACTTTCTTGACTGTAAAGCTCTCCGTTGACGAGCCGTCAAACCTCGCCGGACTAGACGGTGGTTTCTCCTGCAAGTTCGAATCCTGTTGAAGGGCACATTTTTCTTTCTCGAGTGCGCATGCGCAGGTAGCTGAAATAAACAGTTTAAAAAAACCGAGTGTTCACTCAAATACAGGTATCCAATAAAAAATAACCATTATATTAATAAAATATAAAATATATAAATTTTGTTTTCGGTGTAATATCCTAATATATATATATATATATATATATATATATATATATATATATATATATATATATATATCCCCTATAATCAAAAGGGTTTTGTGTGTGTGTGTGTGTGTGTGTGTGTGTGTGTGTGTGTGTGTGTGTGTGTGTGTGTGTGTGCATGCCCGTGAAGAGAGAGTAATTGGGAGGAGGAAAAATAAATAGATTCAAACTGAAGCTTCAGTTAGACAAAAATCTGTTAACAAACTTTCATATGCAGGTATAGAAGTGTTTACTTGATGAAGTTTCCACCTATTGCAATTTTTGATGACATAGAAACCCCCTTTCACATCAAGGGAGAGTGTATTTTTGTGTGTTTTTTTTTTTGTTTTTTTTTTATGGGATTAGTTTATAGAAGTAAACATGAGAAAGGGGGAGAAAGAAGAGGAAAGGGGGTAAGGAAGAGGAATGGGAGAGAAAGAAGAGGAAAGAAGATGTATGCAGTTGGAAGTAAATCCAGGTGTTGTGGTGTCCCTACAGTCAAGAGGGTTTATATTTATATATATATATATATATATATATATATATATATATATATATATATATATATATTGCTCACTAGTAGCACGAATCTCATGCACAGCGCAATCTTCAGGTGCTGAATTTCCATTGTTATTTCCATGGAAAATGTTCAGATGAGCTCTGTTCCTCAGTTCTACTAGTTCAGAACTTTACAGTTAGGACACTGCTTGTTACTCCCACGGAATTGAATCACTGCCATTTTCCCCGTGTTGTAATTGCAAGGAAAAAGTTCCACAGCTTTTTCCCCAAGAAATAGAGACTCTCGTTGGGATGCTTCCTCCGAACGTTACAATATTAAATTCTTCACGTTAATCGTTATCTATCCACCATATGTTCATAATATTAATCGAATCACCTCCATTTTCCCCGTGTTCCAATTGTAAGGAAGAAATTCAATTCAAGCAGATTTTCCCCCAAGAACAAGAGATATATAAATTTCCTACGTTTCATTCTCACACACCCTCCTTCAGTAGCGCTTTATATTGAGTGGCTCTCGAGCATCGTATTGGTTGAATATTAGTGAAAAGAATTAGGCACTAAATGAAGAGTTTATGTTTTTTTGTTTATTTATTTATTTATTTATTTTACAATTTAAAATATTAATTTGAATTAAATTAAATGATTATATAATTAGTTTTAATTTATTTTTATATATAGCTATACTTTAATTTTTGTGTTTGTCTTGGCCCTCGGTGTAAAAAATCTTCTATATATAATATTATACGGTACTCCTCCACCCCCACACACATCTATATATATATATATATATATATATATATATATATATTGAACAATAAAAAATATCAAAAAATTAAAATCTTCAAACACACTGGGTTATAGATTAATATTCTTTCGTTTTTTTATTATTATTTCATTTAGATTCCTCTATATATATATATATATATATATATATATATATATATATATATATATATATATATATCCAGGCAAGATGAGAAGGAATAGAGTACAATTCCAACGTTCGTAACATTCAATTTAAAAGAGGGCTCAATACGAAGTAGAGCAATATTCTTTATTTTAAGATATTACATCAAAATCGCTACACAATTGCAGTCGTTTTTTGTTGTGTATCAATGCATCCCATCAGCCGATGTTTTTGGTGTCGTATCTTAAAATAAATATATATACATACACACACAGATAGATAGATAGGTTTATTTGTTGTGTGTGTGTGTGTGTGTGTGTGTGTGTGTGTGTGTGTGTGTGTGTGTGTGTGTTTGTGTCTGTATGTCTGTGTGTGTGTGTTTATGTGTGTGTGTGTGTGTGTGTGCATAAGAATCGAGGGGCAGTGTGCAAAATAACGATGACCCACCCGATGCCGTGCGAACTTGGTCCAGTTGACGCGTGCTGTATCGCTATCGAAGAGAGTTCGTATATATAATACGACACATATATATTCAAAAACTCTTTGTTCATTTTTAGAAATTCATTTTAAAATTAAAATTTATAATTAAAAAAAAGAAGGTGTGAACAAAAAAAAATAAATTAAAAAAATATATTTTTTATGATACGTTGCTCTTAGTAGGACGAGAAATAAGCAGACTCTAAAAGAACAGACTGAATCTACGGACTGTCTAGGATTACTCAGACCTTTCAAATTTTGCACAAAAATATTGTGCTTTGGAAACTTTTGCAGTAAACATAATTTTGGTTATAAATATGTAACATTTATGAGGATAATATACGAATATCTTTCCTTAGTTATTTATAAATTGTACAATGTTCAATTATTAACGTTAACATTAACAACGAACTATTTTAAATTACAAAATTGTACTTAAATTTAACGAAAATTACTTAACAATATAATATATATTACTTATAATACATTCCTTCTTGCCGTCAATTTTGATGGAACCAGTAGACTAATATATATATATATATATATATATATATATATATATATATATATATATATATATATATATTTCCAATCTGACCCACTTCTAAAAAAATGTTTACGACTCAGTGTCTATATTCCATGACACGAACAAATAACACGACTTAGCACGAGGACGATAGCTAAAATGATCCGAGACGCACACGAAAACACGAGACCGTGTCAACAGACAAATTACTTCCACAAGTATCTTTCGGGCTTAAGAGATTAACATATGTGTTGCTGAGGCCATATTTTATGCATATTAAAGTTTGCTTGTACCTAACTTTTATAACCCTGTCCACGTATTCCTCCATCTTGAACTCTTGAAGTGCCCAGTTTATATTGTATACAGTCACAAAAATGAAATAAAATAGTATATATATTACTGTTCGTTTGCACTTATAATGTGGTACATTTTATAAACTTATTCCCCAAGTCGCTCAGACTATTGTGCTCAGCTTTGTTAACTTTATCATTATGTTTAGACTGAGGTATTCTTTGGCCTTCTACAGTCTTCCTAATTCATTGGGAGACGTTTTCTGCAATCAATAATTCTTGATCTTGCTTTCAGAAATTTATGCAGACAGCAAAATTAAAAGCTTAACCACTTAATCAGATAAATCTGTTTGTATAAATCATATTCAGTTGTGATAGAAAATAAAAGGACGAAGAAGTTAACCCCTAAAATTTAGATTTGAGGGACACCAGAAACTTAAGTGATATCATATAGGTGAACAATATTGGAACATGGAAAAAAACAAGTGGAGGAGACCTCCTAAAATCCAAAAATAAGTTTCAGCTTTATATAACTTACAAAGGGTGATAAGCTGTAAAATAAAATAAAATAAATCAATCGCTCTTAGGGAGGAGGTCGTAATTACAGATAGGAAGCCTCAGTATAAAAAGATGAAGGAACCTTTTAAAATGAGTTTGATAAAATAAAAAACTGTATTAGCCAGACCAGTAGAGAGGTCAGTTTGATGTAGGCACTTATATTAAGTAAAGAAAAAATACAGAATCCTAGAAAATAAAAAAAATATTTGTAGTGTCTTTTATGTGGAATAATGAGATTAGTATATGTTTTCATGCAGCCAGTTTTTTTTTCAATCTAACTAGAAAAAATAAAAGAGGTACTCTCTGCAAGAATTTTTTATACTCAATCTAGAACTCAGACTGAAGAAAGCATTGACCAACCTATGAAAAAAAATCAACAAAGACGAGACTATTAGTCTGAACAACTCCAGAAATAATGATGATGTAATGTAATGTAATTTTTCATTATTTTACGTTTATTGGCCTGTAATACTCCAGGAAACATAATAAAGAAAACCTGCACTCTGGTAGGCTTCCAACCTGCCTCCCTTTTATAGGAGAAACCTACGTTCTGTCCGGCGTGATTTCGACCGCTAATTCCCAGTAAGAGACGTTATTATTTAGTTAATACTTAATAGCGCCAAAAATGGATGCGTCTTTTTCCGAAATGAAAGTAAAATAAACACTACCCACTGATTTTTAAAAAAATTATCAAAA